CTGCTGCCTGGGTCCCCTGCGGCCTCTCCCTGTGGTCTTGCCAGGAATGTGACTTGGTGTCCCCCAGGCAACAGCAAATGTCCACTGGCTGCTCGAGGACACCCAGACCCCTTGTCCAGCAGCAGCGGAACAAGTGCCACTCAGCTGTCTTCCTTGCTTTGCAGTGCTCCATTTGACAGGGTTGCAGAGATTAACTTCAACATCGATGCTGATGAGGACAGTGTGAGTGAACGTGATCTGCTGCTGGCTCTGGGGCCCTCTGCGTCCCACAGATGGGAGCTGGGGTCTAGGCCACCTAGGCATGTAGTAGGGGCAGGGCGTGCAGCCCTTCCTCTCTCATCCAGGCATCTGAGGCTGTGCCCATGCTCGGGCCTGGTTGTAGGAAGTAGAAGGTGGGGGGCATGTGCAGCAGGCTAGGAGGGGCTAGACCATGGGAGCCGGGGACAGAGCTGCATTCTGTTTTTGAGAGAGAGATTTTTGTGATAGAGTCTGTGCGCTTGCTGGAAAGACAGTGACAGAGAGAAAAAGTGAGAAGTCATCCCCCATGGGGATGACCACACCACAGTCCCTTTGCTTCCATTCTCTTCTCAGGATTTTGGGCATGCATGCACACTCACACCCAGTGTGAGTTTTAAGCTGCCAGGTCCAGGACTTGAATTGCAGTCGGCTATGTGGGAGTCCAGCGTCTTAACTACTGTGCCACCTGCTGGCCCGAGAGCTGCATTCTTTACCCCTTCCTCATCTGGCCCTCCATCCAGGCTAGGGTCCCATGTCCTGTGAGCTGAGTCCCTCTGGAAGTTGTGGGGCCAGGGCCTCCTATCTCTCCTAGGCCCTCCTGAAGCTGACCACTCTCATCCATCTCGTAGCCCAGCACTGCTCTGTTTGAGGCCTGCTGCAGTGACCGCATCCAGCCCTTTGATGATGAGGAGGAGGATGACATCTGGCAGGGCAAGGAGGTGCACTGCGCCACCCGGGGGACAGCCAGAGCCAGGTGTGGGCCTACTCGTCCTCTCACAGGCTCTCTGATGGGGGAGTAGCCACCAAGTGCTGGACCCTTGGTCCTCTCTGTGTTTGCTGAGTGACCATCACGGACTTTGGGGCCCAGTTGCCCGCCCCCCGCCCTGAGTCTCAGACGTCAGCCGCTCTTCAGTGTCGGGTGTCCGTCCTGGGCCGTGAGGGTCTGACCGCACCTCCCTCTCAGGTTTGGAGCTCCCCATGTCTCAGAGAGCCACTCCATTGACCTGGAACACAGAGGCCGGAATGGGAAGACGGGCTCAGAAACAGACAGAGACACATCTAGGGAGGGGACCCCCCCAGCCCCTGTGAAGAATGAAGTCCTCCCTATGGAGGGAGAATCAGAAGGTAACACTGGGAGCTGGGCAGGAGATTCAGGGTCAGGGATAGAACATTTGCCATGGCTGAGGCATTGCAGGGCTTCCTGAGTAGCTGGGGTCCTACCTTGCCCATGGCCTGGAGCTGCACCCCCATCACCTGCCTTCATGCACACTCCTGGAGTTAGCTGTCCTGGTGTGGGGATCTGTGCTGTGTTCAATGAGATCATCTCCTACCCTGCCCTGGACCCCTTTGTTGTGGTCACTCTCTGCTACATCTCTACAACTCATGGCCAGTGTCCATCTGGTCTGTCAGGAAAAACACTTGAGTGTCTCTTACATGGTCTGACCACCCCCTTGGGTGGCTCAGCACAGCCTGGCCCACCCTCCCCTGGACACTTAGGACAGGGCCCTTCACTTGGTATACTCCACTCCCAAGCCTCCTCTTCTCACTGCCCCCCGGCGCTGAGGCACTAAACACGAGGAGGGTCAGGGTTTCTGGACAGTGCCCATCATTTGGCCCAGGCTGGCTGAGCAAGAGCTGCAAGAGCCAGTGCGGGCCCTGGGGAGTCAGGAGCATCCAGAGTAGGAGGAAAGTGGCCAGGAAAGCCTTGATGCCTTGATAATCGTTTCTGAGTCTGAGAAGACAGTGGAGTGTGGAGCGCACTGTGTCCCCTCTGCAGTGCCAGCCTTTCCAGGGGCTTGAAGGGAAGTGTCCCGTAGGTGCCCAGCTGAGTGTTACATCAGCACTAGTTCTTACATGCCACCCTGGGTGGTGGGTTACTGGTGGGGTGTGTGGATTCTGCCCCAAGGCTCTGCCTTCTTCAACGCTTCAGGCAGTGGGGAGTAACCTGTGTTTTCCCTTGGGGCACTGCTTTCCCTAGCCCATAGTGCCCAGGTCTGACCACGCTTGCTGCCACATCTCCCCCACAGGCACTGCATGGATGGCGGTGTTTGATGAGCCAGGGAACATCACGGCTGCAACCCCAAGAGTGGCCAAGGATGTGGGTTCCAGTGTGTGGGCGGCCAGTGCTACAGCTCCGGAGGAGAAAGGCTGGGCCAAGTTCACGGACTTTCAGCCTTTCTGCTGGTAACACACACTGCTGTTCAGGGGCTGTGCTGGGAGCTGCCTGTCAGGCAGAGGTGGCCATCGGCATGTGCAGCAGGCTAGGAGGGGCTAGACCATGGGAGCCGGGGACAGAGCTGCATTCTGTTTTTGAGAGAGAGATTTTTGTGATAGAGTCTGTGCGCTTGCTGGAAAGACAGTGACAGAGAGAAAAAGTGAGAAGTCATCCCCCATGGGGATGACCACACCACAGTCCCTTTGCTTCCATTCTCTTCTCAGGATTTTGGGCATGCATGCACACTCACACCCAGTGTGAGTTTTAAGCTGCCAGGTCCAGGACTTGAATTGCAGTCGGCTATGTGGGAGTCCAGCGTCTTAACTACTGTGCCACCTGCTGGCCCGAGAGCTGCATTCTTTACCCCTTCCTCATCTGGCCCTCCATCCAGGCTAGGGTCCCATGTCCTGTGAGCTGAGTCCCTCTGGAAGTTGTGGGGCCAGGGCCTCCTATCTCTCCTAGGCCCTCCTGAAGCTGACCACTCTCATCCATCTCGTAGCCCAGCACTGCTCTGTTTGAGGCCTGCTGCAGTGACCGCATCCAGCCCTTTGATGATGAGGAGGAGGATGACATCTGGCAGGGCAAGGAGGTGCACTGCGCCACCCGGGGGACAGCCAGAGCCAGGTGTGGGCCTACTCGTCCTCTCACAGGCTCTCTGATGGGGGAGTAGCCACCAAGTGCTGGACCCTTGGTCCTCTCTGTGTTTGCTGAGTGACCATCACGGACTTTGGGGCCCAGGGAGCTGGTGCCCTAGACCCTGTGCTCGCCCCCAGCCCTGAGTCTCAGACGTCAGCCGCTCTTCAGTGTCGGGTGTCCGTCCTGGGCCGTGAGGGTCTGACCGCACCTCCCTCTCAGGTTTGGAGCTCCCCATGTCTCAGAGAGCCACTCCATTGACCTGGAACACAGAGGCCGGAATGGGAAGACGGGCTCAGAAACAGACAGAGACACATCTAGGGAGGGGACCCCCCCAGCCCCTGTGAAGAATGAAGTCCTCCCTATGGAGGGAGAATCAGAAGGTAACACTGGGAGCTGGGCAGGAGATTCAGGGTCAGGGATAGAACATTTGCCATGGCTGAGGCATTGCAGGGCTTCCTGAGTAGCTGGGGTCCTACCTTGCCCATGGCCTGGAGCTGCACCCCCATCACCTGCCTTCATGCACACTCCTGGAGTTAGCTGTCCTGGTGTGGGGATCTGTGCTGTGTTCAATGAGATCATCTCCTACCCTGCCCTGGACCCCTTTGTTGTGGTCACTCTCTGCTACATCTCTACAACTCATGGCCAGTGTCCATCTGGTCTGTCAGGAAAAACACTTGAGTGTCTCTTACATGGTCTGACCACCCCCTTGGGTGGCTCAGCACAGCCTGGCCCACCCTCCCCTGGACACTTAGGACAGGGCCCTTCACTTGGTATACTCCACTCCCAAGCCTCCTCTTCTCACTGCCCCCCGGCGCTGAGGCACTAAACACGAGGAGGGTCAGGGTTTCTGGACAGTGCCCATCATTTGGCCCAGGCTGGCTGAGCAAGAGCTGCAAGAGCCAGTGCGGGCCCTGGGGAGTCAGGAGCATCCAGAGTAGGAGGAAAGTGGCCAGGAAAGCCTTGATGCCTTGATAATCGTTTCTGAGTCTGAGAAGACAGTGGAGTGTGGAGCGCACTGTGTCCCCTCTGCAGTGCCAGCCTTTCCAGGGGCTTGAAGGGAAGTGTCCCGTAGGTGCCCAGCTGAGTGTTACATCAGCACTAGTTCTTACATGCCACCCTGGGTGGTGGGTTACTGGTGGGGTGTGTGGATTCTGCCCCAAGGCTCTGCCTTCTTCAACGCTTCAGGCAGTGGGGAGTAACCTGTGTTTTCCCTTGGGGCACTGCTTTCCCTAGCCCATAGTGCCCAGGTCTGACCACGCTTGCTGCCACATCTCCCCCACAGGCACTGCATGGATGGCGGTGTTTGATGAGCCAGGGAACATCACGGCTGCAACCCCAAGAGTGGCCAAGGATGTGGGTTCCAGTGTGTGGGCGGCCAGTGCTACAGCTCCGGAGGAGAAAGGCTGGGCCAAGTTCACGGACTTTCAGCCTTTCTGCTGGTAACACACACTGCTGTTCAGGGGCTGTGCTGGGAGCTGCCTGTCAGGCAGAGGTGGCCATCCCAAAGGGCTCACTCTATTCCTGTCCCTATCCACAGCTCTGAGTCACGGCCCAGGTGCAGCTCTCCTGTGGACATTGAACGCAGCCATGCTGAGGATGGCCAGAGCCAGGGCTCAGAGAAGGCCTGTGAGTAGGAGCAACACAGGTTTCATCCCATGCTCCTGAGGAAGTGTCTGACCTTGCCCAGGCCCAAGGCCTGAGGAAGGCCCATTCCTTTTTGAGGCAATAGGAGGCAGCACCCAAGGCTCCAGACAGGGCCTGTTTCGGAGGTGATGTTGGGGTTTACATACCTTGTGGGAGCTGCTTTGTGCCGATGGGGAGACTCTCTGCCCTCGGGGAAGTGGGAGGGCAGCTCGGCCATCAGGCCACCCCAGAGACAGGTCAGCCTAGGCTACACAACCCCAGACTGCAGCCCTTGATCTCTGGCAGCAGCTCTTGAGATCTCAGTGTGGAGACATTTGAGGACTGCTTGTCGCCAGAAAGTTGACTTTGGACTGATGAAAGCTCTTGGCCTCCAGTCCTTCAGAGCAATTCAGAAGTACAGGGCCAGGTCTGAGGTCTTGGCAGTGGTGGCTGGGTCCTTTGGGCGTGGAGGAGCCACGCAAGGCCACACAAGGCAGAGCCTCATCTGCCAGTGGTATGCCTGCCCTGTCTCTAAGAGTGGGTGCCGGGTGGTCGGTGTGGAGGGCACTGATGTGGCTCCTACTCGCACAAGTGCAGATGCCACGTGAGGAGCTGTTCTCCTGCACTGCACATTATAGGGTCGAGAGCCCCAAGGCTGTGGTGGCCACAGTGTCTTCGCCCTTGGCAGACATCACAGGCCTCCTTGTTTTGCAGTCGGCCCAGCCTCCCCGTGTGCCTGGAATGTGTGTGTCACCAGGAAGGCCCCCCTGGTGGCCTCAGACAGCAGCTCCTCCGGGGGTTCCGACAGTGAGGAGGATGAGCAGAAAGCAGCCAGCACCTTGGAAGCTGTGAGCAGGGGTCCCGGCCGGGAGACCCCTCTGCTGCCCAGGACAGTGGAAGCTGTTGTTGGCAGGTGTGTAGGGGCTGGCGTCTCTGCCTCAAACCCCTTCATGCACATAGACTGGTATTCCAGCTGAGAGCCAGAGACCTCTGGTCACATAGCCAGTACATTGAAGTGGAGAGGAAGTCAGGTAGGAGGGGGTGGGGTTGCTTTCTTTGAGACAGTATTCATTGTCTCTTTTGTGATTGGTTAAGACAAGGCCTGAATGTCCTGGAGAGCTCCCAGGGACTTGAGGTGTATCACTGGCACAGAGGCCTGATGGGAAAGAGCAGCCCAGCTTTGTTTGGGCCAGGCTGAGCTGCCTGGGATCTGGGGTCGCTGCGGGTAATGAGGGAGGGTGTGGCATGTAACTCTGGCCGGCAGGCCTGTGTCCATGGGCTTTCCCAGACCTTTTCTGCAGGAGACCCTGTGCTGATCTCCAGACACCCATTCCAACAGAGACCTGTTGTGCTTGGATACAGGATGTAAGCCTGGGCACCTGAACTCTAATAGGAAGATGAGGGTAGCCTCCAGGTAGACAGAGACCAGGGCTCCCTTGAGCCATCTGAGTCTCCCTGGCAGAGACCTGCTGGCCCTCCTAGCAAGCTCTGCCCCATACGTCCAGCTCACAGGAAGGTCCTGGGATCCACCAGTGGACAGATAGATCCCTCCTGGCCTTTGGAGTAGGGGTGAGACACATTGGCATAAGAAGATGGGCACTGTCAAAGGTCACAGGAGGGCAGTGGGCTGAAGCAGATGTCAGGGCCAGGTAAACTTGGGGAGCGGGGGAAAGGGGGCTGAGACTTGAAGACCTGGCAAAGGGGCAGCCGTATGAAGGCCTTGGGGCTGGAGTGCCTAGTCAGCTCGGGAACAAGTGACCAGGCCATAGGGGCTGCACCCCTCCAGGAGAGGACACAGTGATGAAACACAGGGCTATACTTCCAGGTGAAGGTTGGCACCTGCCCTGAACGAAATGACGCCTGTGGGCTCTCAGGTCCAAGGCTGCAAAGAGCCCCCACTCCTGCCCTCGGGTGGCTGAGGTTGATGACCCAGTGTAACCCATGCAAGGTGTCAGGCCCACACTGCCCTACCCTCACAGAAGGCCCCATTCTCTGCCCCCTAGATGGTTCTGGAGGGTCACATTGTGGCACTGGGACTTGAGGTGCCTCCCCTAGCTGGGCTGTCAGCTCATCATCCATGAATCTGAACCTCACCTGCTCGTTCTGCTCGCAGCTATTCCCAGATCCCACATGCTGCGTGTCCTGCCACGGGGGTGGGGGCACAGCACCAGGGGAAGTAGGGCCAAGGCCACAGCTGGGACTTGGGAGGGACCCTGGTTCTGACAGAGACACAGAAGAGTGAGAAAGCCTATGCCAGAGCTCCGTGCAGTAAAAGTGCACACAGGGTTTCTGAACTTAAAATCACTCAAGTTCTTAAACCTTTTACCTTCTTTTAAACACCCTCTAAAAAACCTGCCTAACTCTGCCCTAAAAAGCCTATAATGATATTCCAGTCTACATAAGTTGCCACTTAGTGATAACACTGCAGCCATCTCAGCCCACCTGTGGGTGAACTTGGCATACCCTCACCTTCCCTGGTCAGGCACCTGAGTCCTCTCCCTGTCAGAGGCCAGGCTGGACCTTGGGGGAATCCTAGACCAGGCCCCTGGGCATTTCAGCAAGGCCCCTTATGCTTCCTCTCCTTGGGTGTCTCCCCAGCTCTGGTGCCTGTGTAAGGTTGGGATTGAAATCCTTTTGTGGAAGCACCCTGGGCGAGGGACTCTTACCATCAGCAAGCAAGGCCCAAGTGCTTCCTGGAAGGTTTAGCATATGCCACATGCTGGAGGGGGCAGCTGACCTGTGCCGGGAGCTGCTTGACAGCACAGCCCCTGGGCCACTCCACAGAGAGGAGGGCTGGGAGGGGTGAGTGTGGTCCCCCCCAGACCACCTTCTAGACCATGGGCATGTTGAGGGGTGGCACTGAGGTGGGATGCCTACAACCAGAGCCTTTATTTGCCATAGGGCCGACCATACTGACAGCAGGCAGCCAGACCCTGTGTGCCCAGCACCCGCAGAAGTGAACACTGCCCTGGCCATGGCTACCACCACAACACTGAGCAAGGCTGGCTCTCCTGTGCCAGCAGCATCTGCGATGGCCGTGGAAGTCCCCCCAGGGCCCATCATGGCGGTCACTACAGCAGCTCCAGCCATAGTGGCTGGCCCGGGCCCTGGAGACAGTGACAAAGGACAGGTGAGCAAGGAGGGCCGGGTGGAGACTGAATGGCCCCTGAAGCCCAGGTGTCCCCAACCCCACCCCACCCCTGTTCCTGCCAGACAGACAGCC